AGTTGGTTGATAGAAGAGACTAGTGTGAAATTGCAGCTTTTATTTTTTATTTTTTATTTTTTTCCTGTTATCATGCTCATGCTAAATTGCTATAAACTAGTAAATTACAACGAGTTAATCGAGATTTTGTGTTCAAATTATCTTTTCAACCACAAGGTGTGATGCGATTTGCAAACTGCCACCTTCAGCTAGCGAACTACCTAGTGTCTCAATGGCAGGGGGTTCGAAACCCTTGGAAATCACTTTGTGGCAATGGGCAAGCCGAACCTAGAGGGGGAATTAACCCCACCCTTCGAGTGTGAGGACACCTCGTAGTATTTACCAAAAAAAAAAAAATCTTTCCTCAACATCGGTTATTAAAATAATAAAAATTAAACGAACTGCTGATAAGTACATATGAATGGTTTAATTTAATGTAGTCCATTATATTGAACTTAAACTTATTCAAAACAGATACGAATAAGAACAAAGAAAGCACCTCGTAGTATTTACCAATGTTGTTTCGAAAAACATTTGAAACTCTCATTAGAGTGGTCGAGGGAAAAGGTAGCACAAACCAGTGTCATAGGCTAGTAGCATAACCAAAATGACAGCAGTCCATATCCAGTGTTTTCAATTTGCATGGTAACAAGTTTATAAGGTTCCCCTTTCAATAAGCCAAATGCTATGGTCAATCGCCCACTACTCCCACCATAATCCAAGGCATTCATGAACTTCTAGGGAATATTCCAGTCATTATACTTGGTCACTAAAACTCGTTCTACTGAATGTGCATCAACGAAATTCAGGTAGCAAAATTATTATGTAACTGAAACAACAAAATCCCCAATCACGTTCTTTTTACACCCCTAAAGTCTCTTCCAGCTACATGTGTACCTATGAGGGTTTTATGATTTTTGTCAAGCAAACCAGTAATATTTATACCTATGACAAATACTTCCAAATAAATGCGAAATTATAAATGAAACCTTTACAGATCAGGCTGCAAAATCAAAGAGCAAAGTACAAAGCACGAGCACGCAAAACATTCATGGCAAAGGCTGCATTAACAAGAGCATCCAGACTGAGCTTGCGACTGTGATGCACTGCCGCCTGTAGACTTCAGATTCACATCAACCATGTCTTCTTGCTTTGTTGATGACAGTGTTTCCATTCCTGGTAAAGCTGCAGCAATTTTCCTAAACAGTGCCTGAACAAAGATTCATGAAGAAATCATGCACTTATTAAGTACTGAAAAGTTCAACAGTGAAGACAACACCATCAGATTGGAGGCACCATGGCGATTGACATACTACATACTGAAAATAATCAGAACAGGATGATTTAACACCCAATTTAAGGAGAACTATCCAACTAGATGCTAAAAGGGTCGAATCCACCGCCCAAACATATTTCTACTTTAATAGAGGATGCCCAGTACCCACGAACAAGGATCATGCCTTAGCATCTGATCCTTTTATCCTCATCCAAGAAAATGTAATAAAAATAAAAAGAAAGGTGCATCAGTCATTTCACCCTTTTTTTTTTTTCAACAGCTACAACTCTAATGAGAAAGGTGTATCCCAGAACCCTCAAGTGCATTCCATACCTTTTTACTTTCTATTATAGAGATAGGAAATCCGAAAAAAAATTCAAGTTCCTACCTTTATATTAAAACCAGCTTTTGCACTAGTTTCAATGAACATGACATTGAGGTCGCGACCCTTAGCTTCTCCTTCCTCTACAGAGACTTGCCTGTGGAAATTATACATCAAAATATAGTACTGTAAACTTAGTGATTGATACTTTTTAGGGCCTTATTGGGTGGCTCAAAATTAATAATTGAATTTGATACTTTTTAGGGCCTTATTAGAGCATACTGGGCGTCTAAGCATGCAACTAGAAGTTTGGATTAACTTATAATAGTTGGTGGCAAAGTGAATGGATTTGGAGAAACAGCTGGGTAGAGTAGAATCCGTCAAGAAAAGAAGCAAGTGAACATTGATTGAGTAGTGGGTAAGAAACGTGAATATTGGGAAGCATAATATTTTTCTGTTTATTATTCTACCATCTTAAAATGAATTTGTTTTTTTTTGAAAAAAATTGTTTTACCAAATAATATTTTTGGATCACCAAAAGTTACACCAAAACTACAACTTCTCACAGTACACAATAGTACAGATGATGCCAAAATCAGTAGTTTTCGAAATTGGTTTCATTCGGAATCAGAATTTCCAATCTGCCTTGCGTGGGTAAACTTATTACTAAAATTTATTGAAATTTTAATTATTTACCCATTTTCTTTGAATGCAATACTAAACTTTTTCATGAAAATGTTATCAGCCCTCATACCAAATATAGTACTCGTAATGTTAGCTAATACTCACTGTAAACAAACCATTGGAATGAGAATAGACAGAAAAATGAACAATAAACCAAGTTAGTCCAGAAATCAAATATAAAGAACCTATTGCTAAACGTTACCTCTTGTCAACGAGGTCGGTTTTGTTTCCAACCAGAACAATAATAACATCACTTCCCCTCTCAGTGCGCACCTCATCAATCCACTTTGAAGTGTTTAGGAAAGTTTGTCTGCCTACACAACAGGTTACCAGAATGGTCAAAAGACATTCCTCATGTTTGTAGCATGACAAGAATAAGGGAGTGAAACAAGATTAAGTCAATAAGAAAAAAATGGCCAAAAAGGTCAATAAGAATAAAAGTTCACATTTTCAACCAATCTAGATCACACGAGAAGCACATATAATAATGAAATTTACAAGCTTTAGTGGACCCATGCCGATGGATGATAAGCAGCTACATAAGCCAAGAATTATTCATCCTGGACTAAATAAGTGGATTCTAGGTAGATAATCAAGCGGAAGACAAATTACAAACTTGCATACTTGCAACATCGTATACAATTACAGCAACAGAAGAATCCCTAATGTAGCTTGGAATGAGACTTCTAAATCTTTCCTGTCCAGCTGTATCCCTGCCACCATATAAAATAAGAAAGGATCAACCTTCCAAACCAAACTAATGTCTGGGAAAATACTAGAAAGCCAAAATATGAAAACCAATTACGTGTCTGATAATAGTGATCATGGTCATTAGTGTCCAAAAAGTGAAGGAGACAGGAAAACTGATATATGCATAAGCCCGCAACTAATAGTACTACATGTATATTCCCCAACAGCAGCTACGTTTACTTTAAATCTCATGTCATATAGCTAACAGCGGCTATGTAACTCCTTCAAAATTTACAATAAGGTGAGGTCTACTTGAGAGTAAACATGCAAAACCAAGTGGACTCTTCTGATAAGATATGATACTTTCAGCCCTCCATGTGTATCATTATGGCAGTGGGAACCTCAATGTTACATTAAATTGCAACCATAACCCAACTGAAGGTACTAACTAACAGTTCAGACCTTGATGGAAAGTTTAAATAGCCAGAAAAGTATTTAGTCTGGGATAATTCATAGAT